TTTAAAAGAAAAATAAATTCCCTCCTAGCCCGGTGTTCCTAACCTTGGTTAGTTTTTGGAGGGGGGGATTTCACCCCCCAGAATCCCCCGGCCGGCCATACTGGCTGGGGAATTCTGGGAGTTGAAGTCCACCCATCTTAAACTTGCCAAGGTTGAGAAACACTGTCCTAGACCCATGCCATCAATGCTCCCTGCCAAGTTATTAACCGCTCACTTGGCAAAGATCAAGACACGAATGGTGGGCTGAATCTCTCCAAGACTTGGTCCACTTCCTCAGGCCAGATTATCTGCAACTGATCATGTATCACTAGAGCAGATGGTGACCTAGACCCTTCCACAAGAACTATATCAATAATGACATAAAGTTCAGGACAAATGCAAAGCACTTTCTTCTCAAAGTATCTTGCAAATTTGCCATAGCAGGCCTCCAAGGATGGCCCTGCATGGATTTACATTATTTGTAGATTTAGAAAAAAAAAAATCTTGATTTTTAGACCCATATTTGTTATTTTTGTTGGTATAATATGTACTTGTCATCTGCAAAGTTTAATGATCAGCAGCCTCACTTTTTATTTTTGAAAAGTCTTCCATGAATATTCCAGTTTATGTGGAGTATATAACCTATGCAATTTCCCAGATAACTTTAAATGGTTAGCTAACTAGCTAACAATGTTACTTTATTTAATTTTCTGAATTTACATATTTTCTTTGTGTTCAAATTGAACACTCAAAGCACCTTACATCTTAAATCAGATGTAATTAATTTAATTTTATTCAATTAATGAAAATTGTGTGTGTGTGTTTGTGTGTATGGAAATTAATTCAATTAAAATAAAAATAATAAACTTTAAAGTTTAAAGTCCTGGCTAATGTCTAGAAATAAGGAGGACTGAGGGGAAATTGAAATCTATGAAAGGGAACTTGAAGCTTGTTGTATTTGATTGGCTTGTAGAAGGTTTGATTACAGTGTACCTATTGAATAACAATGAGAACTCTGTAATCCTGTAAAAAACAATGTCAACGCTTTTGGGGGGTCCCTAAGTCTGGTAATTGGTGAATACAGCTAGGAACAAACTCCTTCTACAAGTAATTATTTCTACAACATTAATTGTAAGGAGGGGGCAAATACAGTTCCCCAAGGAGTATATTCCATAGCCTGGGAGTAATATTAGATGAGCCTCCAACAGTGGGACATCTTCAGAAGTTTTCTGTAGATCTTAATAGCTGGAGAGGTTAGTAATAGAAGAGATAGGCCTCATCCACCTATCCCCGTAACCACAGCTAAACATGATGAGATGACCTCATGATATTGTGAGTGTCTCATTCCCACCCCACAGCTGAGGCAGTTGTCTTTCGTTTTTCTGATTTTAAGGTAGTGTTTCCCCCCTGATACAATATTTTCTATGGACACTGGGTTGAAGCTTTACAGAGAGAGATTCAAACTTGAAATAAGGAGGAATTTCCTGACCTTAGAGATCTTCTAATCCAATCCTTTGTCCAGGGCAAGAATCCTCATAATATTCAGGACAAATGGCTGTCCAAACTTTGCTTGATGGAGTATCCATGACTCCAGGAGACAGGCTCTTTCACTGCTTAATAACTCCTTGTAACTTGCCTAACCCTGCCCCACCATATGTTTAGGAGAAAAATCAGTGGTTATTTTTCCTGCTGGCACATGATGTTCAGTGGGAAGAGAAACCAAGTCAGGGGAATCCACCAATTACTTTTTTTTATAAGTCCTGCATTAAAACTATAAGGAGAGCACTACTTATCAGCTTTATTACTGAGATAGAATAAGGCTCAGCGTCAGGGCAGCACAATTTATGCAGGCCTACTTTTCTGTTATCATAAGGACTGGAGGATAGCACATTAACAAGGCCATTTGGCTGTATCCTCAGGTAGTCAGGCTATAATGCATTTAAGAATTTTAACACTAGCGTTTTAAAGTGTTCCAGAAAGCAATCATCAAACAGTACAGACCTTTCAAAATAGACATTGTGTAATTTCAATATCTCTTGCACTGGTCTGTACCTTAGCCGACACATTTTGCATAAATTAGAGCTTACAGACCCTTTTCAAAGATAACCTTACTGCCAGACGACATTGCAGTAATTAGACTGGTATATAACCAAGAGATGGATTTTATTTTATGTAATTAGTCTCACACTTTAAAAATATAATATGGACTCAAATGTTACATAAAATTGCTATTTTCTGTAATGTCCAATACATACCTGTAATTAGTATTCCATAAATTATGTACCGAATTCTAGTTTTATGTTTCCTGCAAAATTGAAGGGCCACATCATATTTCCTTGCAAGTTTCCTAGAAGGATAAAATGTAAAATAAAATAAATAAATGGGGTAACTTAAACACAAAGACTATTTTGTACGTAGGTAAGTGATGCAATACCCAATATATTATAATTAACAGTGTACAATACAAATTGATTATACAGGAATCTTAGATTTTTTTTCCATGTCTTTCTCACCTAATAATTGATTAAAAGTTTTTACAACCATGTTTAGCACTGGGGATTCTTGATAGCCAAGAACATTGGCCTATTGTCCTGCCCAACGTAACCTTATGGGGGTCCTTTTCCTTTCTGGAGTTCAAGATTAAACAGCACTACATGCTGCTTAGTCCTTAACAAGCCACAGCAAAAATCCAATTGCAAACTATAGTAATTTGATTTTACACATAGGTCTAAGCCATAAAGGCTATATTCATGTATCATGCTAATCCAAAAACAAACAAATCACATGATGGCTTAGTGAGATGTGTGAAGCAGGCCATTATGTCTGAATGTTTAAGGTCCAGTTTGATATGGTTAGACTCCTGTGTAGTGGTCAGAAATCAAGGAGGTCCAGGTTCCAGTCCACCCTTGACTATATAAGCAAGTGAGTTTTGGACCAGTCACTGTCTCTTAACTCAACTTACCTAAAAGGTTGTTGTTATGGAAAAAATAGGGGAGAGAATGCTGTATAAGCCACCTTGAGCTCTTAGAGGAAAGATGGGATATAACTTAAATAAATAACCTTCATGTGCCAATAAGTTAGAATAACCCTCTATAGAATCCTTTATCAGAAAAGGGGCAAAGTATGACAGAGTGATCTGAGGAATGCTGTTTACAGATCAAAAAGAACCCTGAAGCTGAATACTGAACTCAGTGTGTCCAAATGCAGTAAAACTTCACTTGAAGGGGATAGCGATCAGTGGAGGACCCATAATGAAATTATTACCCCTTGCATCCAGGTTTCTTGTTTTCTTCTGATTCAGGTTGGTTTCCATGTGGCTCACTGTCAATATTGATGTTTGTCTCATGCTAGAAGAGAAAACAAAATGGTTTACCAATCCTGTGTTTTTTAATCCATTGATTGTTCTTCAAGGGCCAGATACAAGGAAAACTGGTCTTCTAGTTCCCCATGACTTTCAAGCAGTCTGTCCTCTATGTCACCATCCAATATTACCTCAGATACTGTAACTATCTTTAGTTATGTGCAACTTAAAGGGTGGGGTTTGTTTACAGGAAGCTTATAACTTTCTTTCCCCATGCAACAATCATATTTTGGCTCCTTCTCAGTTCCCCAACTGTTTATTTAAAAAAAAAAGTGGCATGAACACTAACTTCCATAGAAAATGGCTGTGTGTTAAGTTGGGGAATTGTCAGAGGCATATTCAGCCACTCAGCACACAGAGCCAACACAAACAAACCGTACAATGACTGGATGTGATCAATGAACCATCCCATTTTCTCTTACCTCATCAGGATGAAAGTCATTTCTTTCCAAGTTCCTGTTTCTTAATGCAGTACCATTTGCCTCTGGAAAATCACTATCAGTATCTTCCTGCAAGGCACAACATTTGAAGACGACATGAATTGAGATAAATAGACTTCAGTCAGCACATTGGACAACAGGGGTGACATTCATCCTGCTGTGCTGTCATCCCCACTAGGTAGATCAGTCCAGGAAATCAACTCCACATTAACTACTTTTACTGAGGTTGGCTATCATAACAGAATTTTGCAAATCTGATTGTGCTGTACATCCTCCTCATTTTCTTTATAGTTCAGTGAATTAGGCATCTGCCTGAGCTGTTTCTGAATGTTATCTCAAAGTTCTGGACTTTAAAAATGTTTCATCCCCTTTTGCCTAGGTATCAATTCCTGCATATCTCTGTCAAGGTTATCTTCCTTACTCTCTACATGTGCCTTCATATGAAAGAAGGAGAATTAAAGGCAGGCAAAAGCCTTTCCAGTCATTCAATCTATTTTAATTGTATGTATGTACAGAATGGGATAATGGCAAGAGGATCACATTCCAACCTCTGTGATAACAAAAAGTTGGAATGAGGTAGGTAGGGGTGGATAAACTGCATCCTAGGTCTCTATATACTCCCACTTTTTGTTATTCCTGGACCCCCTTCCTCTGCACCAACGTATTTCCATATTTTTATAGTATGATGACCACTGAAAGTCAGGAGCACGGTTTCCTGCTATTTTGAGGCATGACTCATACAAAGGTTGCAGCTTAAATATTACCCCCATGTTTTGGTTTCTCTGTTAGACTGGAATACTCCACTGGGCAGAAAAAAAATGGTGTATGTATGAATGTTGGGAAACTGTTAGGGAAGTGCTTAATAGTTATGGGCTATTAACATGGGATACCCATCCAAGCTGCAAATTCTAGGTTGCCAGTAACTGTTATTGTGCTATCATTGGGAATGGAGTTGTTTGTGAAGAATAATTGAAGCTTTTCATACCTTGAGAAACCAGAGAAACATTCAGACTGGCTTACCATAAAATTGCAAATAAAAACTGCTTATCCCACTTTGGACAAAGGAAGACTGTTGGTTTTCATTAATTGGGGTCATTTATATCATCTTGTAGTTAACTCGTTATCTGCTGAATTTTCTGTATTGTATTTCTACTTAAAGACAATTTTGCAAGTTTTGTTCTAGTCCAGTCTTGGACGACTCACAGATAAGAGATTACATAAAATTTAACATTAGCTTAACAAGTAAGAAACAAACAAAGAAAATATATGTATGATCTGATCTACACGGTATCACTGCCCAACCAATAATATTAAGTGCAGTTTCTGGCCACCAACAGATTGCCCAACCTTTTTAGGTTCTGTTTTCATGAACATAACTTTGGCACAGAGAAACAAAGCCAGATTGTGACTAGGAGGGTGGAGTCGAGAGAAACAGAATGGAAAGTAAACAGGTAGAATTTGCAGTCTTTTGAGCAAGCTCATGTTAACAATCACCAACACCCAGTCTTGGCTGGTTTCTGCTGATTTATCGCTGCCAGGCCCCAAATACTTGGGCAAGACAAGGAAGCAAGAGTATGGGTTTTAGTACGATATCTTTAATGCTAGTGTGGGGTAGATATAGAATCTTGGAAACTATAACAGGAATTTCCTAGCCTCCTTTACAGTGAATCAATTAAGGCAGAATCTCTTTGAAATGCTTTTTTCCAGATGTTTCCCTGCCTGGGCTAAATTGCCATTTATAAATAAAATAACCTGTCAACTGATTCATCCCCACCTTTCCCAGCCTCTGTACAAGTTTCAAAATCATGGTTCGTGCGCAAAAAGCAGCTAATGAATTTTCTAACCTAAATATACTGATCTGCTGTAAAGACTAGATCAGTCAATTCATTACAGTGGATCAGAGTACAGTTAAAGGGACAAATAAAAATCTGAAACCCATTACAGTCTTAGAAGCAAAGGTTCAATATTTCAGGGATCAGGAGAGCCAAAGGAAACTATTTGGTGATGTGCTATCAGAGAAAAAAGCAGTGCTGGATTGTTTTCAGCTCTTAGTTTAGGTTATTTTGAGATACTGTATTAAAGATAGGAATCAGTGGGAGGCATCTGGGAACAAACTCTTCCCATCATCAGCCTTAAATCCCACAAATACTGTTGCTGACATGCCCCCCAAATGGTGATTTGGGGCCTTTGGGGGGGGGAGTCTTTGACATTTTAGAGGTGGAGGTGGGAATACTTTGCCTTCCAGAATCTTCCTGCTCCATTCCCACCCCTAACCCTTTCCTTAAGGGAGCCAAAATTGGGTCCAAATGATGATTTCAGGGGTTGAAGTTTGGCCATGTTGCCACTGAATTTTGGCAATGGGATCCTGGGGTGCTGGGAGGAAGTTTAAGGTGCCTCCTCCATTTTAAGAGGTGCTGGGAGCCTCTGCTAAAACTGCAGGCCACATGCTGCTGTTTAGCTGACCTCTACTGAGTATGGTCACGCTGACATTTTAAAATAAAAAATATGGCTTTTAAGCTTAATAAATTATTTAGCTAAATTCAAAGAGGCACATTTTAAAGCTAATAGAAGCCATTTGATAATGCCACATATTTATGTATTAGAGTATTAATACAATATTAATATTAAATAGAATTAAATATATTTATTTAACAGTATTAAAATGCAACCAGTTTTGTGGATTGTAAACCTACCTTCCCTCTGATAACTATAGCCCTTGGTTGATTAAATGTATTTCTCATAGCAACAAAAGGACAAATTTAAATTTTAGTGATATAATAATGAGAGCCAGTTTGTGTGGTAGTTAAGACATCAGGCTAGAAACCAGGAGATTGTGAATTCTAGTCCTGCCTTAGGCATGAAAGCTGGCTGGGTGATTTTGGGCCAGTCACTCTTTCTCAGCCCTAAGAAGGAGGCAAAGGCAAACAGTTCCAAAAAACCTTGTCAAGAAAAGTGCAGGGACTAGTCCAGGTAGTCCCCATGAATAAAAAGCTTGACTCCTGGATACATACATAATGAACTTGTAAAATGAGGGAGATCCAGATTTGAATTTCTGCAAAGCCATGAAGGTTCTTGGGTGTCCTTGGACAGTTTCTCTCAACTCATTTCATAGAGTTGTTGTGAAGATAAAAATGGAGGAGGGGTGTGTGTGTGTGCACATGCACACACACATACTGATCCTTGAGGGAAGTAGAGGAGATAGGCAAAGCACAAAAATTCCATTCGCGTTTTGATTTTTTTGTTTGTTTGTTTAAACAACACCCTTTATCTTCCTGCCTTGACTCTGCCACAAATGAGCAGCATTTTCATGTAAGACAGTGTTGTCCAAACTTGGCCACTTTAAGATGAGTGGACGTCAACTCCCAGAATTCCCCCTGGGGGATTCTGGGAGTTTACGTCCACCCCTCTTAAAGTGGGCCAGATTGGGCAAAACCTTCTTACATGTAAATGCTGGTCATTTTTGGG